CTTTCGGTCATGCCCAACATTTTTCTAATTTACAGTAGATCTCTATCTTTAAGCCCTTTCAAGCCACAAGCTTTTGAAATCTTGATGTCAAAATCCAGCATTTTTCCATAAAAAACCTGGCGCCTAAAGGGTTCATATAAGACTTGGAGGCAAACAGTAAAAAATACTGTAATTTTCATCAGTTATGGCTCGTTAGCATTCTGCCTGCTTTAAATCAGACATAGAGGGGAAGTAGTGCGGTAAGATCACATTTATTTGAATTAATTATATCATTTATTTGAAATAATTAGTGCATGCGAGAAAGAGGGATGAAAGTTGCGTGTGTGAATTACCTGCATCTGCGCATCTCTCTCTACCAGCAATAAAGTTTAGTTGCATCAAAAACAGCGATTATATCCCCTTGTTGCTGAGAAATATAATGTAGCTAGTCAGTGTAGAAGCTATTTTATTAATAAAAGTTTGTGCGCCACAATGTTTCTGTGCGTTGCGCGATTTCTGATATCTGTGTTCAGTTATGTGTGTATGCGTGCATCTATGAAAGCATTCTAGCCTACTGCATACAGTTTTAGTTTAGCTACAAGCCAGACCCAAACCCAAGAATGAGCAGCTAAAAATGAATAAAGTTATCAACATAGCTGATATTCAAAATTGTAAGCAAGCGCTGCTTTGTTTACGTTTCATATATCTTGTATATCCTTGTTTCATTTTCTCCTTTTGAATGACGAATACATTCTATTGATAGCTGCTGATATAGACAGCTAATTGTTCACACACAGAATGCATGTGCTAGTTTGCAGTTGGCTGTGGTCTGTATAGTTTGTTCAATCGCAGCTTTTTGGTCCAGATGCTGCCGACGCAAGGAGACAACACCGTCGGCGTGTGGCCGCTAGTTGTTTGAAGTGTCCCGGCCTTAAATGCTTTCATGTTGCTTTTCATATCTTTTGCTTTGTGGCTTTAAACTGTGGTTAACTTGTATTAATCTTTTTTTGCTTTAGACCAGCTGGTGCTGAAAGAGGAGAATCAAGATCCGAATGAAATGGAACAGACAGATCAGAATGAGAAACACCATGATTTCATAACTGGTGAAAAAGCCACGCAGTCTAAAACGACTTCTATACGAAAAAGAGCTCAGAAAACCAAATCTAACAGCCGTTTCACCTGCCATCAGTGTGGAAAGAGCTTTGCTCAACAAAACTTCAAAAGGCACATGAGAATTCACACTGGAGAGAAGCCTTACACCTGCCAACAGTGTGGAACGAGTTTCACTCTAAAAGCAACCCTTCAAATTCACATGAGAACTCACTCGGGAGAGAAGCCATTCACCTGCCAACAGTGTGGAAAGAGTTTCGCTCTAAAAGCATCCCTTCAAAATCACATGAGAACTCACTCGGGAGAGAAACCTTACACCTGCCAACAGTGTGGAAAGAGCTTTGCTCATCAAGTAACCTTTAAAAGGCACATGAGAACTCACTCGGGAGAGAAGCCATTCACCTGCCAACAGTGTGGAAAGAGTTTCACTCGAAAAGCAACCCTTCAAATACACATGCTAACTCACTCGGGAGAGAAACCTTACACTTGCTGTCAGTGTGGAAAGAGTGCCACACAGAAAAGCAGCCTTCAATCTCACATGCACATTCACACTGGAGAGAAGCCTTATACATGCAAACAGTGTGGAAAGAGTTTCCCTGCAAAACAAAACCTTAAAGTCCACATGAGAGTTCACACTGGAGAGAAGCCATATACATGCAAACAGTGTGGAAAGAGTTTCCCTGCAAAACAAAACCTTAAAGTCCACATGAGAGTTCACACTGGAGAGAAGCCTTACTCTTGCAAGTATTGTGGGAAGAGTTTCACAAACGCGTACTCCCGTAATTACCACATGAGAATTCACACTGTTCATTCAACATTCAACAGTAAGTAAAGAAATACATGCAAAGAAACAGATTCATGAAGGCTCACGGCCAGTTCAGACCAGTTATGTGAACAACAGGTGCAACGGTCACATAAATTCCACCAAGTTTTTTAATGGTTGTAATGAAAATTTGACAATTTGACAATTGTGCAGTTTCGCTAGTAAACTGTAAGTAGTTTTCCTAATTGCTTTATCTCAGTAATTGCTCACTACCAGTTTATGTGTGCATGCTATTTGCCATGTTGTGACAGATCGCTAGATCAGTTACAAGACCAAAACAAGTTTCATTTTAAATAGAGCTTGTAATATATAACAAGAAACGGCATGCACACATTAAATGTAAGGGTTAATCCACAGCTAGCATATGCCTTAAAATATTTTAATATAGGACTTGGAGGCAAACAGTAAAAAATACTGTAATTTTCATCAGGTATGGCTCGTTAGCATTCTGCCTGCTTTAAATCAGACACAGAGGGGAAGTAGTGCAGAAAGAGTTTTACACAGAAAAATTAATTACTGTAAAAAGATTAAGATCACATTTATTTGAATTAATTAATTATATCATTTATTTGAAATAATTAGTGCATGCGAGAGAATTACATGTGTCTGCGTAGTGTAGAAGCTATTTTATTAATAAAAGTTTGTGCGCCACAATGTTTCTGTGTGTGCGCTGCGCGATTTACGATCTAAATTTAGACTTTACATTTAGTCATTTTGCAGACACTTTTATCCAAAGCGACTTACAATTGGGGAATACATAAAACGATTCTTCTTAAAGAGGCAAACAGACACAGGAAGTGCTTGTAATACCAAGTTCCATTTTAGTCGGTTGGTTACGTCGGATGACTGATGAATTGGGATCTCGCTTAGAGAGACCAATCCACTTCGAGTGTTAACTAAATGAGCCAATGCACATTGGCATGCGATTAATGCATCCAGCTGCCGCTGATCACAGCGTGAGTATAAGTAGGCAGCAGGTGCAGCGCATATTCAACTTTTCACTTCGGAGCCGAGCGATCACATCGTTTTGCTCCTGACTACTCGACTGAGAGAAGTTCAGCGTGCTCTTTGAGAGCTCTTCGTGTTGGCGGTACGCAGGTGTGTGAAGTAACGAATTACAAATACTCACGTTACAGTAATTTAGTAGTTTTTATCAGTAATTATACTTTTTTGAGTAGTTTAAAAATTGTGTACTTTTACTTTTACTTGAGTACATTTTAAGTGATGTATCGGTACTTTTACTCCGCTATTTTCCTCCGTTTGTGGCCGTTACATGCTTATTTTAATTTTATTTTTATCCTTCAACATGATTGGATAGAGAGTAATAGGTCTCGTGACTTTCGTCAAATCAAATTATGCATAGAAAACTTTAACCGCCAACTGTTTATCATGGCTGCTGGAAGTGCATTCTTCAAGCATCAATTCAATCGCATCTTCCTCTACCGTAATATGTTAAGGTAAATTTCGGATTTCTGCTTACTAAATGATTTGTACATATGCTTGCCTATCTGAAATTTGCCTGAAATTTGGTGTGAGGTTGCGGGTATTGCATACAGTGTTAACTCCCGCAAGTGCCATGTTCGGTAAATTCCCCACTCACTTATGAGACGCGTGATCTGCGCTGCCTTGTCTCTCTCTCTTTTGCGTGCGTTCTGCAGCAGTCACTTGGATAAGTCGGGGTAGAATCCACAGCTGAGTACTCACTACTCAATACTCATGAGTACTTTTAAATAGGCTTCACTCTTACTCAAGTAGTTTTTTTGGACAAGTACTTTTACTCTACTTGCTCTACATTTTTTGGAAGGTAATGGTACTTTTACTTGTATATTTTTTCAGTACTCTTTCCACCACTGGCGGTACGGCGCTTCAGCAGTGGTGGTTTCCCGTGTTGAGTGGGTTGCACACATCAGGCTGCACCACCCCCTGTTTGTGTTGGCAGTTGTGTCCCGGGTCTGTAGGTACTAGTCTGGTCTGTCCGGCGATGCATATATGGCCTGTGGAGAAGCTGTCTCCACCTTACATGCTACGGCGTTACTGCAGGTTCTACAGACTAAAGCACTGAGGGACCTGCACGAGGGTGGTCATGATCCGGAAGTTCTAAAAGAACTCAGAATCGCAACTGATCTCGCATTCCGAGCGACGAAGGTCACCACGAGTTCTCTGGGTCGTGCGATGTCCACACTTGTAGTCCAGGAGTGTCACCTCTGGTTGTGTCTGGTTGACATGAGGAACACCGACAAAGTTCGGTTCCTCAAGGTCCCTGTGTCCCAGGCCGGCCTTTTCGGCAACACAATCGAGAACATGGCCCAGCAGTTCTCGGCTGCACAGGAGCAGACTGAGGCGATTCCAACATGCTCATCGCCCTGTGCGTCCACCCCCACTCCCGTGCCGCACCCGCAGCGGCCTCAACCAAGCGGCGCCGTGGAGCTGGGCATAGGCAGGCCACCCCGCCCGTCCAGGCCCCCGTCAACCTGGCAGTGAACGGAAGAGCAAGAGGCCTCGGGACGGGCGACCCAGAGAGAGAGGGAACTGCTCTTTGGGGGATGGTGAATGCACCTCTCCCTCCCCTGGAGGAGAGCCGGGTGGAGAATCTGGTTTCCAAAAATCTCGACAGGAGAGCGGTTTTCTCTATCTCTGGGTCCCACGAGGGCATGGAGAGTCGCGGACGGACCAACAACGGACACCACACTCATCCTCCTCTCTGGCCAGAAGGCAGCAGAGAGTGGTTCGAGAGCATCCTCTGCCAAACCGTGGAACCAGGTAAGTGTTGCACTGCACAATCAGACCCCTCTTCAGGTCCCTGCGTTCCACCTCGCTGCCCCACTTCGGGTACGTCGGTGATCCCGCTGGTCCAGCTTGTGTGGTGTCTGGGTGCATGGCGGCTACCCAAACCGTTTCGCTGGTTCCTGCGGACCATCAGACTCGACTATGCGATTCAGTTAGCCCGGCATTGCTTCAAGTTCAGCGGCATCCGCTTCACATCAGTGAAGGCGGCTGATGCTCCTGTCTTGCGTGCGGAGATTGCAGTCCTATTGGCGAAGGATGTGATGGAGCCGGTCCCTCTGGCTGATATGGAGATGGGGTTTTACAGCTATACTCAAGAAAGGCGGTGGGTTACGACCAATCTTGGACCTGCGTGTCTTGAACTGGGCCCTTCACCGGTTACCGTTCAATGAGTCCCCGAGATTGGTTTGCAGCGATCGACCTGAAGGACGTGTACTTTAATGTGTCGATCCTTCCGCACCACATACTATTGCTGCGGTTCGCGTTCGACCGAGGGATTGGCATGGTAATGTACATGACAATGTTAATGTATTTGGTCTTGGCGGAATAGATCTGCTACGGCAGAGCAAGTACCGAGACTTGCTACTGCCAATACATCCACAACATGCTGCTGTGAGCATACTAGCTCAGTCTCAGGATCAGTTGTGTGCACACAGGGACTTGGTGCTTTCGCACCTCAGACGGTTGGGCCTTTGGGTCAACTGGGAAAAGAACAAACTCTCCTTTGCGCAGAGGATCTCCTCTCGGTATGGAGTTGGATTCGGTCGAGGGGGGCAACGTTCGACGGGCTTGCAGTGTCGGGGGTTTGGACAGGCCCCCAACTGCACTGGCACACCAATTGCCTAGAGCTGCTGGCAGTATGCCTGGCCTTGAGCCATCTCAAGAGGCTATTACAAGGCAAGCGCGTGCTGTCCGCACGGACAACAATGCGACCATTGCGTACATCAACCGACAAGGTGGTCTATGCTCCCGTCGCATGTCGCAACTCGCCCGCCACCTCCTCCTTTGGAGTCAGAAGCATCTATGGTAATTCACATTCCTGGTCTGCACAACCGGGTAGCCGACGAGCTGTCACGAGTTACACTCAGCACGGACACGGACCCTTGCACACAGCTGGCCGCGGCAGACGGTCCAGCTGATTTGGAGTCGTTTCGGAGCTGCTCAGGTAGACCTGTTTGCCTCTCCAGAAGCCTCTCACTGCCAGTTGTTCTACTCTCTGGCTGAGGGAACACTCAGCACGGACGCCCTTGCACACAGCTGGCCGCGGGGCCTTCGCAAGTATGTTTCCCCCAGTGAGCTTTCTTGCACAGACACTGCAAGATCAGGGAGAACGAGGAGCAGGTCCCGCTCGTGTCGCCTTACTGGCCCACTCGGACTTTGTTCCCGGAACTGATGCTCCTTGTGACAGCCCCTCGGCAGATTCCTCTGAGGAAGGATCGACTGACTACTGATCTACTGAGACAGGGCATCCTGTGGCACCCGCTTCCAGACCTCTGGAAACTTCATGTCAGGTCCCTGGACGGGACGCAGAGGTTCTAGGTGACTTACCCCAAGAGGTAGTTGACACCATCACTTCGGCAAGAGCACCGTCTACGAGACACGCTTACGCCTTGAAGTGGAACCTGTTCGTCGAATGGTGCTCTTCTTACCGAGAAGACCCCCGGAAATGTCCGATCAGAGTCGTGCTGTCCTTTCTGCAGCAGGGGTTGGAGCGAATGCTGTCTGCCTCCACCTTTGAAGTGTATGTGGCTACGATTGCTGCCAACCACGACCCCCTCTATACCCTCTTAGGACTTGTCTCTAGTGCTCAGAGCACTACAGCAGGGCCCATTTGAGCCTTTGCAGACAGTCAAGCTGAAGTTTCTATCAATGAAACTCTGCTCCTGCTTGTATTGAACTCTTATCAAGAGGGTAGGGGACCTGCATGCATTTTCAGTCGACGATTCGTGCCTAGAGTTTGGGCCAGCTGACTCCCAGGTAATCCTGAGGCCCCAGCCCGGCTATGTGCCCAAGGTTCCCACTACTCCCTTCAAGGATCAGGTGGTGAGCCTGCAAGCGCTTCCCCGGAGGAGGTAGACCCAGCCCTAGCTTTGCTTTGTCCTATCCGAGCATTGAGATACTTACATAGACAGGACGTAAAGCTTCTGGATCTCAGGCCAGCATTCAGGTAGCAAACTCACTCTACTAGAAGTGTTAAATCCTCCTGGATGTTGGCTCGTGGCGCCTTGCTGGCAGATATTTGTAGAATTGCAGGCTGGGCGACCCCATCAACATCTGTAATCTTCCATATGCTCCTAGCTGGTTGTTCATATGTGTAAGTGCTTCCGAAACCTCCTTCGGGAAGAATGGGCTTCCGCAACGTTCCTGTTCCAAGTGGAATGGGCACTTTTTCCTAGTGTTATCCAGTCTTACTGAGTGGGTTGTGCCATAGCAGCAGTAACTGGTCTTCTTGTGGTAAGCCCCAGCCTATGCCAATAAAGAAGGGGTGCAGGAGGCTTACACAGGACACTGGAAGGGGCACTTTCGTAGGGATCCCAATTTGTCGTTCATCCGACGTGATGTAGAGAGTGACCGAATGAAAGGGAACGTCTCAGTTACGTATGTAATCCTCATTCCCTGAAGGAGGGAACGGAGACATCACGTCCCGTCGCCACGGCTACTGTTCCACCGCTGAGCGGCCAGGTCACCGGCTCGGCTCCTCAGTGAAAACCTGAATATGCGCTGCACCTGTTGCCTATTTATACTCCCGCTGTGATCAGTGGCAGCTGGATGCAATAATCACATGCCAATGTGCATTGGCTCATATAGTTTACACTCGAAGTGGATTGGTCTCTCTAAACGAGATCCCAATTCGTCGGTCATCCGACATGACGTCGCCGTTCCCTCCTTCAGGGAACGAGAGTTACATACGTAACCGAGACGTTTTAGTCATTGTACACATAAGTACAAGCTAGAAAGGGAAGGAATAAATAAAGAGAAAGACAAAGTTTTTTTTTTTTAAGATGAAGTCAAGTAGCTTCGAAAGAGATGAGTTTTCAGCTGTCGCTTGAACATGGTCAGGGATTCAGCATTCCGGATAGGAGCAGGAAGATCATTTCACCAGCCAGGAATAGTGAATGAGAATGTTCTGGAAAGTGATTTTGAGCCTCAAAGTGATTTTCTGTTATGGCGTTGCTCACTAGTGGATCTCTGGAGGGAACTTCTGGAGGAGATTCGTAATAGTGAGTGGGTGAGTGGAGGTGCTGAGCCTGTGGCTGTTCTATATGCAAGCATCAATGTCTTGAATTTGATGCGAGCTGCAGCCGGTAGCCAGTGCAAGGAGATAAAAGAGATAAAGATATCTGTGTTCAGTTATGTGTGTATGCATGCATCTATGATAGCATCGTAACCTACTGCATACAGTTTTAGTTTAGCTACAAGCCAGACCCAAACCCAAGAGTATTCCGAGACCTGTTGGACTCAGATCGGGTAGCAGACCTTCAGGTCGGCGGCAGTTTGCCCAATTTAACATATTGAATCGGCGTCAGGGCCGTCGGCGAGAGTGAGAACTCTTATTGGAAGTTCAGTTTAGCGACTGAGTCCGTGCCCGAGAATTCAAGTGAAAGTGATGAAAACCAGTAAATGAAGGTGGCACAGACTGAGGGCTGTTCTAATGTTATGTGATCTTACCCAAGTATGCAAATATTTTCATAACAACATGAGCAGCTAAAAATGAATAAAGTTATCAACATAGCTGATATTCAAAATGGTAAGCAAGCGCTGCTTTGTTTATGTTTCGTATATCTTGTATATCCTTGTTTCGTTTTCTCCTTTTGAATGACGAATACATTCTATTGATAGCTGCTGATATAGACAGCTAATTGTTCACACACAGAATGCATGTGCTAGTTTGCAGTTGGCTGTAGTCTGTATGGTGTGCTCAATCGCAGCTTTTTGGTCCAGATGCTGCCGATGCAAGGAGACAACACCGTCGGCGTGTGGCCGCTAGTTGTTTGAAGTGTCCCGGCCTTAAATGCTTTCATGTTGCTTTTCATATCTTTTGCTTTGTGGCTTTAAACTGTGGTTAACTTGTATTAATCTTTTTTTGCTTTAGACCAGCTGGTGCTGAAAGAGGAGAATCAAGATCCAAATGAAATGGAACAGACAGATCAGTATGAGAAACACCATGATTTAATAATTGGTGAAAAATCCACACAGACTAAAACGGCTTCTATACGAAAAAGAGCTCAGAAAACCAAATCTAACAGCTCTTTCACCTGCCATCAGTGTGGAAAGAGCTTTGCTCAACAAGGAACCATCAAAAGGCACATGAGAACTCACTCGGGAGAGAAGCC